CCCCAAAACCCCAAAACCCCAAAACCCCAAAACCCCATTCAAATTTGAGTTTTTGAACAAAAAGTTTGTCTGCAAATACCAAATAAATAAATTTAATTTAAAATGTCAGGGGTGGGAAACCACACTCATATCTTCAAGGAATTATTTGCAGAGATGCTGGCAAATAACGGAAGATTTAACATGCTCCCTCAGGAGAAAAGACAGGCATTCACAGCATATGTCTATACCTCAGTGCCTAAATTCTTTGTTTCTGATGGTAACCACTATGTCACGACTTATTTTACAAAGTCATGTGTCGCGGATTTTAAGAAGAAGTATCCAAAGATTGGCTTAACTGATCTCCATGGTAAATTTGTGACTATTACTTCTTGGTCACTGAACCTGATAGATGTGGACTCAGAGAACAACCCTTTGTCTTACTTGAACATGGAAATCCAGTTAGTGATTAAGGAACTGAAGCCTAATTTCACCTCCAAAATGACATGCAACAGCTTCTTACTGAATATCTATAAGGACAACGATATGAAGCTGGACTTTGCCATCTACAAGCATTTCAAGAGTAAAGAGACTGCTGCAGCAAATTTTGATCAAGAGCTTCCTGAGTTTGAAGATCTGGAGGAATCAAAAAGGACAACCACGAGACATAACAAGTGGAGGCTCGAACAGGAGAAGCTTTCTCCTCCTTTTGAGGATATCTATGATTACGACGAGCTTGTCAAGAAGGAGATTCCTGAACTCTCCACTATACATAAAGAAGAAGTCATTGAATATATGAAGAACGAGTATTCTTCCCAGTACGCTGGCTCAAAGAACAAGATGGAGAGCAAGCAGAGGTTAAAGGAAGAACCTCCCTTGAGACTTCAAACTCCTGATGATATCAAGAAGGCAATTGAGAACATCATCAAATTCCAGAAGAAGCCAGAAGAAAAGTGTGTTAAAGCTGTTAAAACTACAAAAATGGAAGCTCCTGCTCCTGTGCAGATTAAATCTGAAACTAAACCTTCTAGAAAGAAGCCGATGACTATCACTAAGTTTCAAGAGTACATCGGATGGTATGAAAAGCAGTCTAACTCAGGAAAGTTTTCTTCCATGTCGAAAGGAAGCCTGAAGAAGCCTACACCTGCACTTGGAAGAAGATAAAGCCCTATTCTCTTGCTCAATTAAAAGTATTCTCACAGTCCCCCTAGTTGATGTGCAATTATTTTGTAGTTTATTTAAGCGGGATTTCAATAATACAGAAAATTAAAGGGGTTTTGGGGTTTTGGGGTTTTGGGGTTTTGGGG